AACAAAGTCCTGATATCTTCATATGATGGTGACTCTGGATATTACACACAGTCCTGATATCTTCATATGATGGTGACCTCAGATATTATACACAGTCCAGATATCTTCACATGATGGTGACCCTGGATATTATACATAGTTCTGATATCTTCACATGATGATGACCCCAGATATTATACACAGTCCAGATATCTTCACATGATAGTGACTCTGGATATTATATGTAGCGCTACCCTCTTGAGGGCCACTGAGTTTTTGGTTCTCCCTAAGCTCTGCACAGTCAGGCAACACACATTTTTCCACACTTTCACCCAAAGTCAGTAAGGTAGTCCTTGAGCGGGTTGTTTTATTAGGCGTTAACAACTTAAATGGGGTCTAGGGGTGTATGGGATGCCCAATGGAACTGTACAAAAATTAGCAGCACACAGTCTTTGCAAGGAGCACTTAGTCCCCTTAGTGAATTTCATCAGACCCCAGATGAAAAGCTCCTCATCTCCTCCTCACCTGGCTGTCTTGAGAGTGTCCTTGAGCAAGGGATTCCAAGACATACAAATTAATTAGTCCCTGGGAGAACTAGTTGGGTATTGCGCCTGACTGCCATCTCCCATCTTTGGCCCAGGGGTGTGTAGAAGTACTCACACTGTCCTGTTCCTGTATCTTAATGGGTTGCAGCTGCTTTCAGGCCTTTCACGGGGCTGGCTCCTTCCTTGCTGACAGGCTGTCTTTCCTAGTTAGACTGTGGGACAGTGGAAGTATTTCTGTCCAGCTTCAGTCTGTAGGCAGGCCCCTTCCTCTGGAGCCCCCTCTTAGGCTGCACACCAGAAGCACCTTCCTCACTCCATCTTCCACCCGACTCCAACTAACTCTTGCTGCTCAGGCTCTCCTATATTTAAGGGTTGTTCTAGCCACTATGCCAGGTCTCCTGCCTGGTTGTTGGGCAGGTTCTCTCAAACATGCAAAATCCAGGCCTCCTCCCATCCTCTGCCCCTCTTCTCCGCTCTTGTAGAAAGTACCAGCAATTTCTAGAAGGGTGGGAAGGCTTCAGAAGCCCTGACTGTAAAGCCTCCCAGCTAACCTGAAGTGACCTCACTGACTCACCCCCAGGCTGAATCATACCCAGGCTTCTAGCAAGCCTCTAACTCGAGGGTGTCAAACTGGCAGCCCTTCAGCTGTTCAAAACTACAAGTTCCATCATGCCTCTGCCTTTGGGAGTCATGCTTGTAAGTGTCAATCTTGAAATGCCTCATGGGACTTGTAGTTTGGCAACAGCTGGAGGGCCGCCAGTTTGACACCCCTGCGTCTAACTAAACACAGAAATCCTACCTAAACTAGAGGGTGCTACATCTACATAGTTCTGATATCATCACATGATGATGACCCCAGATATTATACATAGTCCTGATATCTCCATACATGGAACACACAGAACATGGAGAGTTTGTAGTTTGGTATCTGATATTAAAAGGTTGACAACATTCAAATATACAAATTACATATAATTATCTCCTCACAGAACTACATATCTTCTGTATGCTGAGTGTAATTCTCAATATCTATTTATTTATTTATTTCACGTACTTACAGTTGTGTTCAAAATAATAGCAGTCAGACATCACTAACCTGATCAATCACTGTTTTTGGTAGAAATGATATTTCTACATAGCAAATAATTTACTAGCAGGTGTAGTAGAGTAATAGAAATCCAACAGACCCAACAGTCATGACATGCATGCTGCTAATTCAGTGTAATTAAATCACTAACTGAAAGGGGCATGTTCAAAATAATAGCAGTGTGGAGTTCTATTAGTGAGGTCATTCATTCTTTGAAAAACAGGTGGCAATTATTGCCCTTATTTAAGGAAGGAAGCAGCAAACATTGTACATGCTGGTTACGGTGCATTTCTCTCTGAAATTCTGAGGAAAATGGGTCGTTCCAGACATTGTTCAGAAGAACAGCGTACCTTGATTAAAAAGTTGATTGGAGAGGGGAAAACATATAAAAAAGTGTAGAAAATGATAGGCTGCTCAGCTAATATGATCGCAAATGCTTTAAAATGGCAACCAAAACCTGAAAGACGTGGAAGAAAGCAAAAAACTACCATTCGAATGAATAGAAGAATAGCCAAAATGGCAAGGACTCAGCCAACAATCAGCTCCAGGAAGATCAAAGAAGGTCTAAAGTTACCTGTGAGTACTGTTACAATTAGAAGACGCCTATGTGAAGCCAAGCTATCTGCAAGAAGCCCCCGCAAAGTCCCACTGTTGAAAAAAAGACATGTACTGAAGAGGTTACAATTTGCCAAAGAGCACATTGACTGGCCTAAAGAGAATGGCACAACATTTTGTGGACTGTTGAAAGTAAGATTGTTCTTTTTTGGGTCTAGTGGCCGGAGACAGTTTGTCAGACGACCCCCAAACACTGAATTCAAGCCACAGTACACTGTGAAGACAGTGAAGCATGGTTGGGCAAGCATCATGATATGGGGATGTTTCTCATACTATGGTGTTGGGCCTATTTATCGCATACCAGGGATCATGGATCAGTTTGAATACATCAGAATACTTGAAGAGGTCATGCTGCCTTATGCTGAAGAGGAAATGCCCTTGAAATGGGTGTTCCAACAAGACAACGACCCCAAACACACCAGTAAACGTGCAACATCTTGGTTCCAGACCAACAAGATTGACGTTATGGAGTGGCCAGCCCAATCCCCGGATCTTAATCCAATAGAAAACTTGTGGGGTAACATCAAAAATGCCGTTTCTGAGGCAAAACCAAGAAATAGAGAAGAACTGTGGAATGTAGTCCAATCATCCTGGGCTGGAATACCTGTTCACAGGTGCCAGAAGTTGGTTGACTCCATGCAACACAGATGTACAGCAGTTCTCAGACACAGTGCTTATACAACAAAATATTCATTAAGTGATTCAAAGGAAAGAAAAATCTTCAAACATTTTCAGTTTATATAGTGAATGTTTGAGTTTGTATAGAAAGAATACAAACACTGCTATTTTTTTTGAACAGTCTAATATTCACTTTTCTTCATTTTTTTAAGAAGAACAACACAAATTTGATATATTTTTCTTCATGTTTTGATTTGGAATAGAATGTGTCGTGTTCCTAATGCATTTGTGTGTATGGAAATAAAAGCCATTAGAAGGATTTTGAGCTTTATTCACTTTTTTCAACACACTGCTATTATTTTGAACACAACTGTATATAGCACTGCCAATTTACGCAGCGCTTCACATATGTAAAGCACTGCATAAATTGGCGCCGCTATATAAGTATTGCACATTCGCATCAGTCCCTAACCCTCAAGGGGCGTACAATCTAAGGTCCCTAACATTCATACATACCACATACTAGGGCCAATTTAGACAGGATCTAATTAGCCTACCAGCATGTCCTTGAAGTGTGGGAGGACACCGGAGTACCCGGAGAAAATCCACGCAGGCACAGGGAGAACATGCAAACTCCAGGCAGGTGGCGCCGTGGTTGGGATCTGTTCTTGTTCTGTATCTATGGACTATACACAAGTACCATATTTTGCAACCTGGAATTCCAGGTATCTGTTCTTATTGGCCAAGCACTCTGCACTTCTTCCTATGTCTGTCCAATCATCTTCTTTTCCTTTACACATTATAAAGACCCTACACTCATATGTAGATGTGCCAAAGATATGGCAGCGTGGGATATATATATATATATATATATATATATATAGCGTCTATAGATGTGTATACAGAGCTGCATGTACTTTTTACATTTGGGGGGAAAGGCCCGCTTTAATCCGCCTGCATTTTGTAAAATAAAATAATTGGAGAGGACTTGATATCATGTATTGTTGCCAGTATTAACATTTGACCTGTTGACATTATTTGTTGCCTGGAGCCGATCTTGAATAGCTCTCAAGGGTGGAATTATGCGTTATGTAATATTATAACTGTAATGATGAAGATTATTATTATTTTTAGTAATAGTTATTATTAAACGACAGCTTATACATTCTTTTTCAGTCCCCACGAATCCACCTTTTCATTTTATGAAATACTCCAGGAGAGAAAAGAATAATGGCCTTGGCCACCCTATTATATCTGGCATTATTTATAAGCATTAAGCATCAGCACATAGGCGGAAAGCTTTAAACAAATACCTAGCCAATCGCCATAGCAACCTGGAATGCAGCCTCTAGTGGATTTCTCCGCTAGTATCACCATGGAACCCCTCAGCATCCTCCCTCCAGGGAGAACACGCACTCTCCTAAATATAACACTTCACTTCGCAACGCCGCCACCAAGTAACACTTCCTCGGCCGGGGAATAAACAATAACTCATATCATTGACTTCTGGGAAATAAACTCACTGAGGTTACTGGAAAGATACACACCGATTGATATTAATATCACAGAAATTCACACCTCTGCTGATGTGCACTGGACCCGTGTGTTATTGTAATGAACGCAGGTCCTGGATGAATATTGCATGTGAGAATCGGAGGCACGGGCAACAGTCCTGGCAGGTTTAGGGTATAGGCCTTGACTTTTATATCACCTTTTATACATCTGGTATTGCTTCTTTATTAAGTAGCAAAAAACTGCAGCACGATGCAGATTTTTTTTTTTGCCTGCTTGTGTAAATATGTAGATATAAAAGTAATTAATAAATGAAGACATATTAATTAATATATTATTATAATAATTACTACTACTAATAGTAATCATAAACATAATAGCAACAACAATATTAATGATGATGATTATGATGCTACTACTACTACTACTACTACTAATAATAATAATATTTATAATAACAACTGACAAATATTAAAGTGTTACTAAACCCAGGACCCTGCGCTCACTATATCTGGTCTCTCCAGACCCTGCGCTCACTGTATCTGGTCTCCCCGGACCCTGCGCTCACTGTATCTGGTCTCTCCAGACCCTGCGCTCACTGTATCTGGTCTCCCCGGACCCTGCACTCACTGTATCTGGTCTCCCCAGACCCTGCACTCACTATATCTGGTCTCCCCAGACCCTGCATTCACTATGTTTGGTCTCCCCAGACCCTGCATTCACTATATCTGCTCTCCCCAGACCCTGCATTCACTATATCTGCTCTCCCCAGACCCTGCATTCACTATATCTGCTCTCCCCGGACCCTGCACTCACTATATCTGGTCTCTCCAGACCCTGCGCTCACTGTATCTGGTCTCCCCGGACCCTGCGATCACTGTATCTGGTCTCCCCGGACCCTGCACTCACTGTATCTGGTCTCTCCAGACCCTGCGCTCACTGTATCTGGTCTCCCCGGACCCTGCGCTCACTGTATCTGGTCTCTCCAGACCCTGCGCTCACTGTATCTGGTCTCCCCGCACCCTGCACTCACTGTATCTGGTCTCCCCGGACCCTGCACTCACTATATCTGGTCTCCCCAGACCCTGCATTCACTATGTCTGGTCTCCCCAGACCCTGCATTCACTATATCTGGTCTCCCCGGACCCTGCGATCACTGTATCTAGTCTCCCCGGACCCTGCGCTCACTATATCTGGTCTCTCCAGACCCTGCGCTCACTGTATCTGGTCTCCCCGGACCCTGCGCTCACTGTATCTGGTCTCTCCAGACCCTGCGCTCACTGTATCTGGTCTCCCCGGACCCTGCACTCACTGTATCTGGTCTCCCCGGACCCTGCACTCACTATATCTGGTCTCCCCAGACCCTGCATTCACTATGTCTGGTCTCCCCAGACCCTGCATTCACTATATCTGGTCTCCCCAGACCCTGCATTCACTGTATCTGGTCTCCTCGGACCCTGCATTCACTATATCTGGTCTCCCCAGACCCTGAATTCACTATATCTGGTCTCCCTGGACCCTACATTCACTATATCCGGTCTCTCTGGACCCTGCATTCACTATATCCGGTCTCTCTGGACCCTGCATTCACTATATCTGGTCTCCTCGGACCCTGCATTCACTGTATCTGGTCTCCTCGGACCCTGCATTCACAGTATCTGGTCTCCTCGGACCCTGCATTCACTATATCTGGTCTCCCTGGACTCTGCATTCACTATATCTGGTCTCCCCAGACCCTGCATTCACTATATCTGCTCTCCCCAGACCCTGCATTCACTATATCTGCTCTCCCCGGACCCTGCACTCACTATATCTGGTCTCCCCGGACTCTGCGCTCACTGTATCTGGTCTCCCCGGACCTTGCATTCACTGTATCTGGTCTCCCCGGACCTTGCATTCACTGTATCTGGTCTCCCCGGACCCTGAACTCACTATATGTGGTCTCCCCGGATCCTGCACTCACTATATCTGGTTTCCCTGGACCCTGCACTCACTATATCTGGTCTCCCTAGACCCTGCACTCACTATATCTGGTCTCCCAGGACCCTGCATTCACTATATCTGGTCTCCCAGGACCCTGCATTCACTATATCTGGTCTCCCAGGACCCTGCATTCACTATATCCGGTCTCCCTGGACCCTGCATTCACTATATCTGGTCTTCCCGGACCTTGCACTCACTATATCTGGTCTCTCCGGACCCTGCATTCACTATATCTGGTCTCCCCGGACCCTACACTCATTATATCTGGACTCCCCAGACCCTGCACTCACTATATCTGGTCTCCCTGCACCCTGCATTCACTATATCTGTCTCCCACAGTACACAGAACATGGAAATGCAATTATTTTAGTAAATATAAACTGCTAAATACCTTTTCTCATCAGCAGTTAAAGCAGTCTTGTAACTTCAGCAGAGCACTAGTTAAAGCTTGTAGGAGGAGTATTCTTTCTACTCTTTGAGGATGCAGAATCCCTGACCTCAACCTGGACAGTGCTGATTGGCCCTGTGCTGATCACATGCATTCTCCCAAGAAAGAAAAAAAAAAACCCTCTCTAGCAAAATACACCAAACTGAGCATGTGCATGTGACTACCGGTTCAGTCTGTCTTATCAGGTGGACATTTGAACAAGAGTAGGGGCAGAGAAAACAGGACCAAACAGCCTTTTTACACAATGCAGAGGATTAACCCCTTAGGTTCCACAGTGAGTATAACAAGCATGCTTTACTGCATATACAGACTGATTTTACTGTTGTGGGTTTACTAACACTTTAATATTATTATTATTTATAATAATTCATTATAGATATTTCAAGTAGAACTATAAGCAAAACTTTTATATTTCATTTTGGATAGAGTAAGGGAGGGTCTTAACCTCTATCAGTTTATTTTTTTTGCCAGCTGTGTCCTATTGGGGAAATTTCCCTTCACTTCCTGTCTCATACCAAAACAGGAAGTGAGTGGAAATCCCTGAAAATTATGGGAATTCTTTGGGGACCGCCAGGTCTCCAGAACTAGTGTCCACATTGGAAAATGTCCTATCACTTTTCTGGGGACAACCCAGAATTTGGGATTTTCATTTACTTAGCACAAGTGAATCTCCCTAACAGGTGCACAGACAACAATGAAAACCTGACAGGTGTTCTAATCCCTCTTCACTCCATGCAAAACTAAAAAAAAATGCTTTTTTGTTGTACTTTAATTATAAATTAAGTATTAAAGTGAGTGTACCTGTGTTAATCCTAATGATAGCAGCCTGAACCTAGGTTGATTGGGGCCTGAAAGTCCCTTTGAAAGTCATTGGGGCCTGAAAGTCCCTTTGAATCCTTAAAGATGAACTTCACTCTGCCTAACCCCTCCAAAAAAATATAAATCCTGGTCACTTTTCCTTGTCTTTTAACAAATACAAGGGTGAAGTGAGGGTGGAATCAGGGCCGTGACATTATACTGGCCTAAATGAACTTCAGTGCTGCTCCAAGCCAGATGGCACAAAAATGACCCTACCGGTATGCAGAAAGCAGGAGCTGGCGTCCTTATCCAGAAGCATGGGTAGTGAAGAGAAATGGATGTAGCTCAAACCAGCCAAGTCAGGTTGGTATATGTGATGGCCTCAGCCACTCCAGCCATGCCCCCTGCTGTGTTTCACCCCCAGAACTGGGGTTTGGTCACAGAGGTGACGAAGCCCTGGCTGGAGGGGCTAAATGCATCAGGAAGCGTGGCTGAAGCTGTGGCTGAGGCCATCACATCTGCTGATCTGATTGGGCTGGTTTGAAAGGCATCCATCTCCCTTCATTATCCTGGCCTAAGCTGGGGATTAGTAGGAAAAATCAATAAATAAACAAGATTTTACTTTTCAGGCAGCAGAGGGGACATATAGGACAAAAGGACAATACACATATGTTATACATGTGATTTACCTGTAAACATTTCCTTTGTGTAGCTATCCTAAAAGCCTGAATCTACTGGGTGTGGCCACCTTGAATGTGATGTGGGCAGCTCCAGCAAACTCAAAGTTGCCCCTTCAAGTGGCACTTTATAGTATTTCCCTTCACTCCTCCCCTAGTAACTACATTAAATGTTGTGGAAGGAGGGGAGGGGCAGAGCAGATGGGCCAGCACAGAGTATTTAGATACTCCCAGAGAAAGAGGGAGCTATGACATGCAAGGAGGGAGGTGCTGTGCTGGGGAATATACAATTCCCGGAACAGGCAAAATTTCTACCAAGCTCAATGGCACATTGCTAGCTAATAAATGATTGGTTTAACCCAAACATTTTCTTTTTCACCATTTCTTTTCCTTTTGAAAATAACAGATATAATAATTTAGGAGTTGGAATGAAAGGTTTAATGCAGTATTACACTTTTAGTACCTAAATAGTTGTTTTGTCACATTAGTTTATGATTTTGGGGTTTTATTCGATATGTGCAAAGAGAGATCACACAAATACTTAGAAGTATAACATTTAATTAAGTAATGACAGATACAAATAACAAATATTTGAAAATATATCAAGAATAGTTAACTAAAGATGCTGTTTCATCACGAAGTTCCCACCCTTTTTTCTAGGCATGGTCAACCAGGCTCAGACACATGCCTATTGGCAGCATTGATGTGAGACTAAGATCTTCCAAGTTTTGGCTGTGGTAATATAGAACTTGAAAGTGAGGAAATGGTCAACTCCCCTAGCAAGCAACATACCCTTTTAAGGACTTGGTCAGTTTGTAATGACATGTCCTTTAGTATGAGTCAGGTAAGGTAACCAGACTTAATCCTGGTAACCCCAATAATCAGGATTTGGAGGCTTAGAATTCATTAGTGATCCACATTATTTATAAAGAAATATGAATGTAGCATCCTCTTAGTCAGCTATGGAGAGCTAGACCTCAATTGTGAGCTAGGAGGGCTGAGTAGCAGCCTGGGTGTGATAGCTAGCAGAGGTCAAATTGTGGTCAGAGCTGAGAGGCTCTGCAGACTAACTCTCTGTAATTTCCCCCTAATCTAGGACTTTGGAGAAAGATCTAGAAGCAGTGGGTGGATCTGAGGAATGGTTAGTCTGTGCTCTTAGAGGATCCTGGTCAATCCCCAACAGCAGGCTTGGCAAGGGGCCAGAACAGCCTTTAAGAGTAACCGAGCCTGCCCAGTAGCAGGGAATTGTTGGAGAGGAGTTGGAGGAGAGTTGAGGAGGATGTGAGGCTGGATGGCAGGAATCTGTGAGGGGGCCCAGATGGAGAGGACTCACCTACAGGCAGAGGACTTTGGAAGGAGGAAAGCTCAAGACTTCACCGGCCCCCTGAGAGAGGACCACCTGTGAGGCAGGGAAGGAGCGGCCCAGTTAGAAGGTCTGGTAGCAACCACCAACCCACCAGCAGCACAGGAGAAGGACTGAGTGAGTAGACCTGCACAGCCTGGGCCAGATAGGGGAAAGAGGTACTCTAGTGGGAAACTGGATTAGCCTGCCACCCAGGACTATTTCACCATTTATGTGGCAGACACTGGATTCCCTGCTCAGAGATTCCTTCAGGCAGTCAGATAAAGGAGTATCTGGGGTCTGGGATGGTACAACAGGAGAGGCTGGCTAGCTCTCCACAAAGAGGATTGTTGGTGTAAAGACTTGTACATAGTTCAGGATGAGTGTCCTCACTTTCTATTGGGCATGCTGTACACCTCTAACTCTATCTAATTGTTATTAATAATTCTAAATCCTCTAATAAAATCACAAAAATAAAGCTCAAAGAATGGTTACTGACCCTTGAATGCAAGTCTATGTGAAAATGCACGTTGCCTGACTGTGCAGGACTATAGGGGGGCCCAAAACTTTAGCAACTCCTAAGGAGGTAGCGCTACATTAAATATGCAATTTCCCCATCATTTTATTAAGGATCTATATATCATTCTAAGAAGAGGGACAACAGAGAAGAAACAGAGGGATATGACTGTGAAAAATGGAAGTGCTAGTGGTCGAAGTACGATGGTTAGGATCCCTCTGACAGCTATTACTTTTAGCATCCAGGATTAGGTTTATTTAGTACAGGTATTTATATAGTGCCAACAATATATGCAGCACTTTACACATATATTGTACATTGGCATCAGTCCCTGCCCTCAAGGAGCTTACAATCTAAGGTCCCCAACTCACATTCATACATACACATACTAGGGCCAATTTAGACAGGAGTCAATTAACCTACCAGCATATCAGTAGGAGGAAACCCACACAGGCACAGGGAGAACACACAAGTTCCAGGAAGGTAGTGCTGTGGTTGGGATTCTAACCAATGGCCCTAATGCTGCCGGGAAGAGGTGCTAGCCACTGGTTGACTCTGCAATCGCCAAGTAGGATCCTCTACTGGCTAATGAGGCACTCCAGACCTTGTAGTAGTACTGTGGACATTGGGCACCCATGATTGATCATATTGTCTCAGCAAGAGAAGAGTATCTCCAATCTATTATAGAGGTCCCACATAGATTCCTACTAGTAAAACAATGGTTCTCCCTAAAATGCCTGATCCAATGGCAAATGGTCTGTATTCTTCAAGGCTCTGAAAACTATTGTGACTCTGTTTATGCTGTTTAGGCACAGAGCATAGAAGGAGTGTGCAAAGTACAAAAGAAATTGTATTACATTACAAATCTGTTGGTGAGTAAAGCCGTTCCAGTACACGTCTTTCCTGTACAGCAGACTTGCTCTTCACGTATTCTGTATTTAGATCGCAGATTGTCTCATCACTTCCTACTTAAAGCTCAGTAAAAATTGTTTAGCGTAGAAAAAAAACAAATAAGCCCACACAAAGCTTTATGACTCAAGCAAGGTATAAAATAAAAATGTATTTAATATATTTGTCAGATTTGCAGATTTCTTGGTCAAATTTTTGACCTTGGTACTTCAGTCCAATATATACATTACATAGTTACATAGTTAGTCTGGCTGAAAAAAGCCAAAAGTCCATCCAGTTCAACCATAAAAAAACAAAAAGTTATAATCCTATACCCACAGTTGAAGGAAGTTCAGAGGAAGGCAAAAAAAAAAAAAAAACCCAGCAAAGCATAATCCATTGATCATTGATCTGATTAAATGACAGCTATATCTATTAATCCTCCCCATACCTCCCCAACTTTGGGGAAGAGGAACATCTTTCAGTACATAGTACACCCCTAAATATACAGACTTTAAAAACTTAATACACAAAAAAATGATTGGTTAACCCCACATCTATACATCAGAGCAAAATTGGGATGCCAGAGAAGGAAAGAGTGACAAAGGGATTTAGGCCAAGAAGAGGGCCAGTCCCTTCAAAGCAGATACAGCTGAGAGCTATGCCACCCCGTACACTAAATTACACTAGCCAAACCCACCTGCCTTCGCTGTTACTTACTATAGTTCCAGAGCTGTGGCCTGCTCCTGTGCTTAAATCCTCTGTGTCAGAATTTTCTTCACCGTTGACCATGCCTAGTGATCTCAATATTTGGACCATTTAAGCCTATGGTGACTCAGTGTGCAGGGACAGACATATAGACAATAAAGGGTCATTATCCTCAGGAACCTCCATCCAGCAGCCATCATCAAACAGTTCCCTAAACCCTAGGATGGGAAGGCATGCTACAGACACTTCCAGAGCCCTCTTACCATGGAGAGAAGAACAGCGATCAAAGTTTCCCAACCTGT